TTTTGTCTGAGAAATAACCATAAACTCACAAAGAAAACAGCAGTTAGACATTCACTTGCAGTTCCTAACCCTGCAAAACTCCAGAAACGTTCAAATACATGAAGACCCAAAGTAAACAAACACAGTCCAGAAAAGAGAAACAATTCCAACAATTTATGTAGTGAAAAAACCAGCAACCATAAAGAGTTATTATAAATGGAAAAAACCATATCATACTCAAAATTTCCTTTCCTTTAGAAATTTAATTAGAAAGAGAATCTTTTAAAAATACTTATTTTCATAGTTTCAAAACAAAGCTTAATAGTACCTTTCTGAAGTTTCTTACATGTTCTGAAAACATATTTGAAAGAAACACTGCCCAAGTATATGGAATATTTCTTATATTACTTGCCAAAATTTTACAAGCAAGAAACCAGAAAGCCATCTAGATTATAGATATTTAAATATTTTCTCTCCTAACAGTTTATCTTGTTACATGGAAAATTCTTTTTAACGAACTCTATACAGGAACACAACTGTTTCATCTTCAGAAATAAATATTAAAATAAAGCCAATTAATGTCTCTTACTGATATTAAGAACCTACAAGGCCACCTTTAATAGGTAGTACAGTAGGCACAATTGAAAAATGAGTATGGTAAAACCAGTACCTTTAGAAAAATGATAATGTTCAGCCAGGGCAGCACAATAGAGTGGCCTAATTCTGACAACTGCGGACTTTGAGTTGCTTTTCTGATTAGCTGTGGGATCTTTTTTGCCAAAGCTCTTTGTATTAAACAGCCTTTTTTGTAACATGAGCTATTACTGCAGTAAGGTCAGCACGGCTGTTTTAAAGTAATTTCTGCAATCTAATTGCCCTGAGTTAACCATTTCTAAGCATTGAAACTTTACACACATGAAATATTGCACATTTTTTTTCTTAAATAAGCGTGCTATAAAAATTTTGACTATGTAAAAACAAATCAAGTCTTTTAAAACTAATAATTGGGAAAAAATCCAACAAAAACAAACCACACATGACTTACAGCAGTGTTCCAGGGCACTGTAACCTCCAGGACAACTCCATGAACGCTCTCTTATTTTTGACTTGTACAGCTATATTTTTCTCTAGAGAAGATGACATTTTCCCATAGCACAGAATAGTTCATTCCCCTTTCCTCTGGCCTCAAGTCTAAAGATACATGGTGTTAGAAGTCAAGAAAGAAAACTGAGGGACTGCAAAGCACTACGTCTCGAAAACACGTCTGTATATTTAATACTACTTCAAGCTGATGGTTAAAAATACCAATTTTGGCTCTGAAACACAACGCAATTTAGGTCTTCTGTGTTATTATGATGTTGCAATCAATGATATAGCTGTATAACTCAACGCAAGTGCTACACTGCATGTGCACAGCATGATCACATGCCTGCATGTGTAACACCTCAGACTACCAGTATTTACTGCAGTTGTTGAGGCAGAGATGTTAGAATACACTGAGCATATTTCCTTCTTGATTTCCATATGGGAAATATGTGGCCACAGACCCCACATGTTAAAACTACAGATCTTCACAAACTGTTTGCAACCTATTTAACTGAAGATGAACATTCAGTTAGCTACTTGTTAATGGGCATCCAAACTTCTGTTTAATACCCAAGTTTGACACTCGGAGTGTGTTTTTGTATTACTGTTTAAATTAACGACTCTTCACTGAAACAATGTCCTTATAAAGTTGCATTTAAGAAATCAGACTCTTGAATAGTTTTTGCATATCTGCAGGGTCTGATGAAGTTATGATGGAAATTCTTCCTGACCACAAATTTTAAGAAACCACAAAACCCCCATTATCTTAAAGAAAACAAAAGCTATATCAAGTCATGACCAGTGTATTTAATTAAATAAAGAGAGGAAGGCAGTGAAAGGAGAGTTAAGGCATCCCAGTGCCAAGAAAACAAACAAACAAACAAACTAAAAACCCCTAAGATTGGAATTTAGAGTGTGTGGACAGACACAAGAAGAGCAAGAAATGGCAAGACATGGAGAGGTAGAGGAGAAATGCAATTACCAGGGAAAGAGTAGAGAGGAAAAGGTGTTAGAAATAGAGAAAGGAGCACCAAACAGTGGGTTGGGAAGCAGGAGTAGATTACAAGGACAGGGAGGGATTACAGGAAAGTGGAAGAGACACCTCAAGGGTTTTTCCTCCTCTCCTCTCCTCTCCTCTCTCACAGCTCATATATCCTGCAGGAGGAACAAAGCTGGCATGAAGATCCTCCTGAAGCAAAGCTCTTGCTAACAGACCACTTTAGGGTTGCAGCAAAGAGATGCACCTCTCTGCTGCAGCCCCCGTGCCTGGGGCAGGCTGTCCACTGAGCCTAGAAGGCGAAGGAGCTGGCAGTGGGGTGGTTGGCAGGAGGAGATCACAGAAGGATACCCGCCTCGGAGCCCCGCGCACTTTCAAGAGGAAAATGAATAGTGAAATAAATGCAGAAAACTCGGTAAATCCAGTTCTTTTTGGCAATGCTTCAGTTCCCTTTATGTGCTGATTGCATGATGAGATACACAATTGGCTTGTCCCTGGGGAGTCCTGAACTAGAGATGCTCTTGACCGTGTTCTCACAAGTGCGTAGACTACTGCTTAAAAAAACTGTTTTAACTATTCCTCCATTCCTACCCTCCCTTCTAGTATCAGACTACTCCATCATTGCTATATATCCATTCTCCTCTAAGATTTGTGATACACAGCCACATTAACAGATCTCCCCTCTTTGTAAACGAAGATAAATCTCCAAACTGAAAATTAAATACACGATTGAGTATGACTGCCCAAAGTAACAAAGGAAATTTATTCCAAACCTAGAAGTTGGATAGAGATATCCCAAACTTATAGCTACTGCTTTAACTTCTTGAGAGATGAGTATCAGCAAACTTTTTAAGTAGTTAACTGAACTAGAGTATCTCAGGGCTAAGCTGCCTAAGCCATAAAAATAATATGATGCAGCAACCAAGGTGCCAAGCCTCAAGTGAGGACACCTGATCTCTGTTTTTTCATCTGCTCATGCCTGCTGCATAAAGGCAATCTCTCCTGCCCAGCTGCCCTGCCAGCACACTATCCCCATCGCTGCTGGGGAACCACATCCCTCCACTGAGGATGTCCCTCACTCACTAGCACCAGCTCATCACTGATCTGGACTGGTTCCGAGACATTCTTTAAAAGCTAATAAAAAGGGCTATGTCACTGCAGCCAGGACTGAATGCTGCTTTCAACATAAATCACAAATCCAATCTTTTCTGTTGGCAAACTGAGCAATATATTTCCAACAAAACTACAGACCTCCTGCAGCATCTGTATGAACACAAAACATTGAATCCCATTTCTAGGACGGCAGAAATAAATCCTACACAGAATGGCATCAGGAAGGTAAAAATATGAAATGTGACTGTAAAATTAGTATAGGTTAACTTGTGATCACAGAACCTAACATAGATCACTTACCAGGCCTTGAATGTTCCTTGTGTCAGCCCTTGGCACAGCTAAAATGGTTTTGCTGCCTTTAATTTTATACTACAACATATCTGGAATTTCAAGTTCCTAATTTCCTCAGCTGACAGAAATGGCTTCTGAGATGATTTCTACATTCTGGGAACAGATTTTTACCCTTAAATTAGCCAAGTGTACTCTCAGACTTAACATTTTTGTCTTTAAATAAAACAGCAGTGATAATTATTAATTTAAGACCCCACACGACACGATACGAATTTATGTTCTCGAGCCAAGTATGGTGATTGAAAACAGATGAACACGAAATGCTTTCTACTGAGTGGAATTAAAACTAACTATTAGTGAAGTGTGTTGCTGATTTGACACATGACACATAAGACATTGATTACTGATTTTTCTCTTTGCTACAGTGAAATATCAGAAGTGCCCTATTGGTCTTTCAAGAATTGTACAACCATTGGTACAATGCACTACATGTTCAGCTGGCATCCCCTCCTGCCCTTCTGGGTTTGAGCTGGTTTCCTTGTATTTACCAAGAATGAAGCTATTCTTTCCACTGGATGAGATACTGGATTTCCCCCTTTTCTTTAGGAGCTTTAGCGACGAATAAGATTTTAAGCTGTAATGCTCATCTCCTGCTCAGACCTTGAGATCAAGCTCAGCATGTTCTGGATGGACTTCTACCTGAGGACCGGAAGAAAGCAATTCAGCCTTCAAAAAGGACAGGAGAGAGGACACAGGGAACTACGAGCCAGTCAGCCTCACCTTCATCCCTGGAAAGGTGATGAAGTGCCTCATTCTGGAGGCCATCTCTATCCACATGGAAGACAAGAAGGTCATCAGTAGTCGTCAGCATGGATTCACTAAAGGCCCATCGTGGTTCCTTCCAACCTTACCTATTCTGTGATTCTCTGTGATTGCATGTTTTGAATGTAGTAGCAATAACCAAATAAATAACAAAAAGTTCTGAAGCACTAAGGCTACAAGTGCTCGCTTGTGGTGAAGGTCTCCTATACAAAAAGCTAATGCAATCTACTGAAGGGAAAAATTGTAACCAAAGTACAGGTTGGGAATATGGGATGAGAAAACGCCTGGAACTACTGGAATACTTCCAAAAAGGATTCAGATAAATAACAGGAATAAATAACAGCTCTGGAGGACTAAGGCTAGAAGTGTTCACTTACACTGGAGGTTTCCATCGTAAAAACCTAACACAACCTACTGAATGGTATGGCTGTAACTAAAGTACAGGTTGGGAATAGAGGGTGAGAAAAAGCCTGGAACTACTGGAGTACTTCCAAAAAGGATTCTGCAACACTGACACATAAGTTGCTGCGTGACTGAGGCCAGCAAGAACAAGCCTCAATCCTTCTGAAACAGTACTGAGCTATATATTTGCAGCTAATGAACAAAACATACCTCCCCAGACAGCAGAAGAAGACATGGTAAAGTCCTTCTGGAACTGCCTTCCTTTTATCAACCCCTGGGAAAAAGTGGCCATTTTAATTCAAAAAGGTACCTGCAAAAGCGTAATGCCAAACTCTTGTCCAAGCTCTGAACAGGGGAATGTAATGTTCCAGGGGATTCTGAAAAAAAAGACAAGAAAACAAAATATGAAAAAAGGCATTAAAAAAAAAAAGAACACAACATAACAGTAACACTGAAGCTGCATACAGGTCAGTGTTGCTGTGATGTTGAAGGTCATGGAAACCACACACTAGGGTTGGTCCATGCCAGCAGAAGTGAGGGTAAGAAGTGCAAGGCAGCCACAACAGCAATCAGGATTATTTCACGTGAAAGATGAGATAAGTGATGAAATCAACGTGATTGTGCACTGGAAAAAATCGACGAGCTGTGTAATAATAACAACTAATTAAAAAGTCATTTGGGAAATCTCAGAAAACAAGCTCACATACAACAGCATCTGAGGTGCAAGATAAATTGAATCCATGCTGTGGATCAATGTATAAATGTAAACAGGGTCAAATGTCTAAATGCAATTTTTAATTCACTTACGAAGGACAACACAAAATTCTGCATTTTAAGTTCTTGCTACAGATAAACAACCATTTAGTTTTGTTTTTTGCTATTTTCAAATGAAGAAGAGAGCAAATACTGCAAAGAAAAAAAACAACCACTATTTTTATGACACAGCTTTAGTAGGACATGGAATCAGTGTCAGCTACTTTGCAAGTAATAGAGAGAAAACATTAACACGTAAATGTTAGTGTTATTTCAGGGCAGCTGCTAGTTGATTTTGACATCAAAATATGGAATCTACAGTGATGATCTGTTTTTCCATATTCAGAGTTAAGGTCAAAGAGCAAAATATTTGTGTGCTTAAAAAACCTTCCACACCTACCTGCTGGGAGAGGTGACAGGATATATTCCAAACTAATGACAACTAATGACCTCCTATTTAATTTTTATAGGTCTACTAGGAATAGCTTATTCACTTTTCACAGAATCACAGAATCAGCTGAGTTGGAAGGATCAACGAAGATCATGAAGTCCAACCCTTAGCCCTGGACAGGACCATCTATTTGAAGTGATTATTGTCTTAATGGGAGAACCATAGTGTTCAACTGGTGGTACAAAACTACAGAAAAAGTATAAATTTTGCTTTCTTTTTTTCTTAGACCTCTTCCCCTTTCCTAAAGCACTTATTTTAGACAATGCTTTTTTAAACTATGGCAGTACTGTACTCCTTGCCAGTCAATCAATACATCTTTCATTTCATATGCAATACCTTCTCCTTTTTCTCTCCAAAATTATTAGCTCCTTTTTGAGGATTTAAACAAGATATTAAAATTCACACAGAAAAAAAAATCCAAACATTTGTATTTTGTGTCACCTGCTAAAAATAGTTGTAAAAATAAGTCAGTATATTCAGCTGGGAGGAAAACAGCTCTGCTGCAGAATGCAGCCTTTCTACACATCTTTTTATGTGCAAAAAGGCAGTGATAGAGTGAGGGAAGAAGCAGTTTTCCCTCTCTGTTGTGAGGCTGGTGACAGTCAGCAGAAGGGCAGAAATGCCAAGCTGAGGAAGACTCACCAGCACAATGGTTTTTAAGAGAACTCCAGAACACAGACAACGCATTAGGGCACGCACCAGAAAGTTCACTATTTCCCATACAAACAAGTATACAGTTTTATTTTTTTACTGAAACAAGTATACAGACATAAAAACTCACATACATGTAGTTTACTCCAATACTAGTAATTCAAACAGACACATTTATGATATGACTGTCAGCATATGACTAACAAATAGTTACTGTATAGTGAACACTATATAGTGTATACTATGGTAAAAATGTATAGCCTATTGCATCTTCTAAGTGTTAGAAAGAGGTCATAGTAACAAAAGTGGAAGTACTAATCCTGGAGTAGTTCTTGTACAGTGGGTTGCCACAATCCTCCGGTTCCACAATAAACATACTGCTTCAGGTTGCAAAGATTTCCTGAGAGAGTATTCATTGCACAGTATCCACTGTGAAATCACCAGGAAGGGATGCACTACATGGACTTCACTGAACTTGTACCAGGACCCAGGACAGAAATGATTAAAGAAGATATACACACAAAACTCAAACAGATTAACATTCTGCAGAGCTTTTCAGTGCATGACTCGTTTCAACATTCATGCTATGGAACAAAACACCAACAATGCCATTTAGCAACTGCAAAAGGAGTGTGCACTGACAAAACTGTTAATGGATAAGGCTTATAGAGTAATGTGGGGTCAGACCAAGTACTACAAAAGTTCTTCAATGTGTCAGCACAGTATTCTTGGGATTATGCATCTCGTACATGGAACCATGAAGCACCACTGCAGAGAACCCTGTGAGGACTCATGTCTCCACCAACAGGAGAGCAAATCCTTCCACAGGCAGCACTGGATTTTGTAGCTGCAGGATGAACAGCCCAAGGCAGAACCATATATTAATTGCACTGTTTCAAGTGGATGAACTGTTCTGGTAATAAATCTCCACCAGCACTTTATCAGTCCGAGATAGTGACCTTCAGCAACACATTTCAGAGAAACTTCCTAATCAACCCAACACTTAACACAGCTGAGAGGGACCGAATACATTACAGTGACTATTTTTAAACATAAATATGCAACTGCAAGAAAAAGTAGAGAAAACGAAGAATGTAGCAAAAATTTCAGTGAAGAACTTATCAGCATAACTAAAGGCACCAAATCCTCCTTTCCCAATTTAATATACTGTTTAGCATAAGAGGTGTCATATAAATATTTCTCAAGTTCTAATTACTCACGTGAGTATAATTCTAATGTCTTTAGAAAACCCTGTCCCTTTTGCAAGCACCATGCCAGCTTCCCCCATCTATCTACCTGTATGGCCCAGTCCTAACACAGAGCAACCCAGAAAGGCCACCACCAAGTTACACACATTTGTTTTTCTCCAAGAAAAGACAAGGAAGATGATACATAAACAGGCTTTGCTTGTCCCACTCCTTATGTGGAATTTGCAGTATAATATGTGGCCAGCCATGCACTGGAAGAACCAACCTGGTTGGGATAAACCACTACCAAATGCCTGGCCTCCAAGAAGGCAACAGAACTTATGTCTGACAACTAATATAGTTGAGTTTTTGGTGCTTTTTAATTCTTTCTTGGACTTCTTTCTGGGGGTCCAAGATTTCATTTCTCCTGTAGATGTATAGTTCAGCTGAAAATACAGTAAGGTATGCTGCCATACAGTTTTATACTGTATGCAGAGTAGAGTTTGAAAATGTTTGCTAGTACATATGACCACTGAGAGCTCAGTGCTTCTTTCTGGTGATGGACAGACCTGCTTCCTGCAGGTAGGGCACAGTGGAGCACTCCTATCAGCATGGTTGCCATGGTATGCACTGACAGCTGTGCACAGTTACCATTCCATTTATTTCTCATTGCCACTCTTTCTTACATCTTTTTTTCCATTTAAATAACTTAACAGGGCCAGCAGCAGCAGATTCATGTCATAGAAACATAGAACAGTTTGGGTTGCAAGGGACCCTTAAGTTCTCTAGTTCCAACCATTCTACCATGGACAGGGACAGCTTCTACTAGACCAGGTTGCTCAGAGCTCCATCCAACCTACCTCACTTCTACAGGAAAGACTGGCCTCCACAGTACTTTCTTTTAGGAACAATAAGTGTTCCCACAGTGCTCCTCTTAAAAATCAACAAAAGATATGCTGATATAGTGTCAAAGACCTGGTAGATAAGATCTGTGCAAAGAACTGATTGGTCACTGGCTCCTACTAGACAGGCTAGACAGGTGAATGGAATATAGTTGAATTCTGGCCTCATAATGAATAATTAAAGCAACTGTCCTTATCTTTTAAATTCTCTTTGGGGGAAAAAGAAAAAAGAGAGAGAGAAAATAAAGAGAAAGTAAAAATAAAAAATACTTTCAACCATCTGAGATCTAAACCAGCAAAAAGACAGCTGATGTCAGACTTCTCAAAATTACAAAAATTCATGACGCTGAGATGGTTTACTACCTGAGCTTCAGCTAGAAGCTTTAATCTCCTCTGTAAGGGCAGAAAATACCTAGCACCAGGACAGGAAGTACCCAAATCAAGGTAAGAAACTCTGGACTAGACACAGACTAAAAAAAATATTAACTTCTTCAATATTTTTCAAATGAACCAATTATATGGGTGTGAACTACCACATTCTCCTCTGAACTGACATTTCTCTTTAGTTTTTTTTCTCTATAAAATCCCACACTCATTCAAATTTCTCTCCAAAAAATCTTTCTGGAATGCCTAGAAAAACACTCCACAATGGCTGGGCAGATGGCATACTGCAATGGCTCATTATCCTAATTTCAACAGTCTCTCTTTATCTGCTGGTGAAATCAAGGTCAAGTGAAAAACTTTAAAAACCACTATGAGATCTGAGGATCTTAAAATTAGGTTTGTAGCTAGATAAATTCTAAACATTTCTACCATTCTCAGATATGTATTTTTTTTATAATTTGACAAGCAAAAGAATATGCAAATTGTTCAGGAAGGAGTGACGGTTCCTTTTCAAGACTGACTGACTTGAGGACATCCACATGCAGACTGGGTGCTGTCAGGACAGTTCTCCTTCCATCTGTGGTGCCAGAAGATTCTAGTAACATGACATGTTTAGAAGACTCATTAAGTAATATCTTAATATTGGGGTTGAGACCTTTAGAACTAAGAGTCATTGAAATGCAAGTGGAACATGCATAGCTACAGACAAGTAATCCCTTTAGCTGGTCCCTTGTCATCTCAATATCCTTACAATAAAAAGCACCATGCTACAAGAAAAACAAACCTCTGAGTCTTGTGACTGACACTGTACATTCAAAATTTCAAAATCTCAGAGGAAGGTATGACCAACGTGTTTGCCCACATAAGCAAGATCCCAGTGGGGATTTTAAAATGGAGAAAGAGTCCAGTCTAACATCTGGACTTCTTCTTTGAGATGCATCTAATGAATGGAAGAGACATCTATCCCTCCTGGATACTATCAGCAGAGGGACATATCTCATAATAAATTCTCAAAGGCATTGTCAAAAACATATCTTCTTAAGCATCTC